AGGGAAAAGCAGCATGAAGGTGAAGCAGGTAAAGCAGCTGCTTTGTCCTTCCCACACGTGGGGAAGGATCAGAGGCTGCTGTAAATCCATTTTACTCAAGGAATCAGTGATGCGCAACAAAAATCTTGTGCTCACGGTCAGTGGGTACAATGGGAATTTGGAGACTTCTATGTATTAATGAATATATTGTGTGTGTGCTGGGGGGGTGGGCAGGACTCTTTTGGGGCAGATACGGTGATAAGTCTGTTTTAACAGAAATAATTTTAATTGTAAGCTTGTCCCCTGTGTGTATGGGTGGGTCACGGGAGCCTGGGCTGGGATGAACACAGAGGGAGCTGTCACGGGAGGCACCTGGAGTTTTCTCACTCAGGAGGGGTTGATTCAGTTGTTGGGTCTGTCACACACATGGCCACGGCCTTGGATGGATGGGCTGAGCTGTGAAAATGCTCCTCTCTGAAATGAGGGCTCACAGGCTTTGGATTTCCCTCTCCTGCCTGCTGTGGCTGAGGTCTCTCAGCCCCCATGGGGGGAAGCACAGCCACTGCTCCGAGAGATGTACTTCACGTGGCATAGTTGAACTGTAGCTCTATTAATACCAAGATAAACAGAATTGAAATTCAGTTTGACCTTCTGTGGCAGCTGTGACAAAGCGTGGCGTGTTTGAAGTCTGGATACAATTATTTGGAATTGCTAAACAGCACATTTCAATCATGACCTTTAGCTGGCACCGAGGCCAGAGGAGGGCCCTGATTTTAACTTCTGAACTGCAAATCACCCCATTGGAAAGAGACTTCAGAAGCCATTATAATCACAGGGAATGTTTCAAAGGGTGTGGAAGCTATAAGCAAAATATTTATTTTACACACTTGTCTGCATTTAAGCCATAAATCTGTCTACTATGAGAGTGTTTTAGTGGTGTAGAGAAGACAAGTAAGCTGAGATCATAGCATACATGTCCTATAAGGCTTTACTGAAAATCATTGCTTTTTAATCCCTTTATCCCTGTTATTTCCTACCACTGTGAAAATCCAGCGGCAGGGAAAGCTGGCACAGTGTAGGACAGATGCATAATGTGCAATGCTAAGCAGGCAAAAATCCCTCTGTTTGTCTAATGCTCCAAACACATTAGAAATGTCAAAGTTACTGCTGGGTGTCCTACATAAACACAAATAAATTATCAATACTCAGCTGAGTATTGCAAACCTTGTTGGATGTGGTCTTTTGATATGGTATGAATAATCTTCTAATTAGTCAGAGGAAAAAAAATCTTCTAATTAGTCAGAGGAAAATGTCCCTGCTTATGGCAGGGGGGTGAAATGAGATGATCTGAAAGGTCCAACCCATGATAATTAAAATCACCCAGAAAAGTTGACCTGGATTGTTTCTGTGAAGAGCAGGTACCACGTGAGTGGCATAAAACCGAAATGCATACTTCAGGTGTACAACACCTGATCTCACATCTTTGACTTTTTCTTTTCCTTGCCTTGTTTTCCCCCTGCATAAACCCTGAAAACCTGCTTGGACAGGAGGATGGAGCCAGAATGTCCCGAGGGCTTCTGGAAATGTTCAGGTGTGTGATTGCTTCCGTGAGCTCCGCTGTCGCCCTGATTCTTAAGATTTTCTAAAGCCTTCTGAGTTTACATTCTGTTAGAAAACTTTCTCACACATTTTCTATAAACAACATATTGTTTTGCATTCCTTCATGGGGGTGGAGGAAGTTGATGTACTCGTGGTTTGTCCAATGTCCTTGGAGAGGTGGCCTATTCACTCTCCAATCCGCTGTCCCCTTTGGAAAAGTATAAAGGTTGGAGTCAGAAAATAAACCTTCTTCTTTTTTACCTTGCCATCGTAGTGGCTCGTGTTGTGCTTTCTCGTGTCCTATAGTGACACTCCTCATCAAAGTGAGCCCAAGCTGAATCAGCTGAGCTGCATCCTCTTCTGGCATGCTGAGCATCACTCAGCTCCTGCTGGAATCAGAGGTTTTATTGTCCAGGCAGCAGGAGTGCAACAGGGCCTGAGCTTGGCTCGTGGCACCCACCTGGGGCAGGACAGGCTGGTCCTTGCACCCCCACCCCAGCACTCCCTGCCTCCATCCCCCTGCTCCCACCGCTCCTCTCTCACCAGCCAAGGTTATTAAACTGCTATTTGTACGGTTCAGGCTGCAAATTGGAGCTAATTAACATGTGCACAGCCTCTTCCCCCTGTTATTGACCTGGAGGACAAAGCCTTTGAGCCTCCTCTTCCTCTCTCACCCTGCTAATGCTCTCTGTGATTTCCTGACAGCTTGGCCAGAGCAGCTCCCAGCCTGGAGCACAGCTCTTCCAAAAGGGCAGCTGGAGGGACACAACCCCAACTGGATAAATTAGAATTTATCTGAGCTTTTAATCTAGGGCAAGAGGAACATATGGAGTGTTGTGGCAGAGTCAATTTAAGATTTTGACAACAAAAAGATGGGTTCTTTCAGTCATAATAATTTAAAACAATAGTTCATTTTTGTGCTGCTCCTGACATAGAAACTGTGAGAGACAGACAGGTTCTGGGGCTGTTCTCATCCCAGTTTAAAAACATGGGCCTTAGGAAATGCCTTTGTACCCAACCAACAAACAGATTTCCAATTATTTTACTAAATAAATACAAGGATTCTGTAAAAGCAGCTGGAACTCTTGATTTTTTGTCCATGGTTTTTTCCATGAGGTAAAACCAGTCAAAGGGAATATGCTGTGTTCAGATGCTGTTCCAGGAATGAATGCAGAGCAGGGCTGTGAATCCTGGAGCAGAGCCCCGAGCCCCCTGTGCCCCTGGCTGTCCTCAGCTTCCTACAGCCCCTCCTGCTCCAGCTTTTCCTGAAGTTTTTATTCCAAGGGATAGCGACACTTTACAGTCCATCAGTGATGGTTATGTTGTGTTTCAGCATCCCACCATCCCCATCCGTGGCAGAGGCTGATAGTGGATCATGGAATGGTTTGGGTTGGGAGGGACCTTAAAAACCATCTCATTCCACCCCCTGCCATGGCAAGGACACCTCCCACCATCCCAGGGTGCTCCAAGCCCTGTCCAGCCTGGCCTTGGACACTTCCAGGGATGGAACAACTTCTCTGGGCATCTGCTCTATGGAGAACCAACTCCTCCAGAACAGGAAATGTATTTTGCCAACTTCAGAAGTTTGTGTCAGGGAGCTGAACCCATAGATTTGGAGTCACCAATCCAAGCCTGGTTGATCACCCAACGCTGGGAGTCATCAAAATGCACTTAAAGGTTTTTTTATGTGTGGGATGGAGCTGTGGCCGGGTGCTGTTGATGCTCGTGGGGGTGGCTGAGCAGAGCTGCCTCCCCCTGGCCTGGGCTGCCTGTGGCTTCCACATGGGACCCCCGAGGCCAGAGGAGGCTGCTGGCCAAGGACCCTAAAAGCCAGGGACCTCATAACTCGGGAAACTGGACTGGACAGAACGCACATCCAACCAATATGATTAATGCAACGTTCTCCGTTTATTTGAGAGAAGATGGCAGTTTTTATACACTTCTGCATAGTTTATAATTTACAAAGGCACTCTCATTGGCAAGCTAACATTGTTTACCTTTGCCTTAAGGTGGCCTAAACCTCACAATAGAAACCCGTACTAATTCACACCCAGACAGCCCAGTGCATCACACCTTAATACAATTTCTAACTGTCACAAACTCTTAATTTCTAACTGCGCCACAAACTCTTAATTTCTAACTGTGCCACAAATTCTTAATTTCTAACTGTGCCACAAACTCTTAATTTCTAACTGTGTCAGAGGCTGGAAGGCCTCACAAGGCCCAAATCTGAGGCCTTGGCTGGAGTAGCTCAAATCTCATTCCAAACATAAATCATGACCTCTGTCTCTCAGAAATGCTGCAAGAGCTTAATAATAAGGGAAAAAAAACCCCAAAACTTTATTAGGCTACTACTATTATACTACTATTAAAAAAAAAGAAAGAAAAATGCATACAAAATATAAAATGAAAATATTTTTAAATATTCCTCTTCCTACTACTCAACGCTAACAAATTATAGTGAGACACGACTTGGGCTCCTAATTATTTACTTTTTAATATAATTAATATTAAGTGTTAATTAACCTCTTCCTACCAAGAAGATTCTTTTTCCCATGTCAAAGCATGACACGGGCTTGTCAAAATCCTACACCAAACCCCTCTATTCTGACCTGGAGCTCCATGCAAGGGAGCCAGCAGGAGCCCTGGTTGTGCATGAGGAATGCCAGAGCACAGGCCAAGGTGAAACCCAGCAGAAAGGTAAAATATCAGTGAGTTTCTTGTGTATTTGAAGGCATTTACTAGAACTTAACAGGGCATTATCCCTCGCTGAGGAATGATAAGATGGCTGAAAGAGCAGTTTCTATACACCCTGCTCCTATAAAATTGAATTGGTTTCATATATACTACATTTTAAAGGCATTTTAGACTTACGGATTTATTAAAAAAAAAAAAAAAAAAAAAAAAAAAAGGTTTATCCTTGATGTCCTGAGCACATTATTGCAGTAACCTCACTGCTGGACCACGGCTTTGGCACAACACACACATCCATAATGAGGGACTGCCTGTTCTAGGGAGGTTTTATTACAAAAGAAAGTGCACAAGTATATTAGGAAGATGGGGGGGAAAACAGACAAGTCTATTTTTTTGGCAAAGCCTTGTATTATAGATCTCATTTCTCTGGTTGCAGCTGCCTTTAGGCACCCATTTCAGTGAGCTGCTCTGTTCTGCTTAACTGTAGATGCTTCCCAAATTTCCTCTTTGGTGAAACAAGCATTTGTGCAGGTTCCCCATAAAAATGACTGATTTGGGTTTTACCAGGAGCTCTGGCACTTCTCCACTACAAGAAAGAATTGCATTTATAGAGAGGTTTATCAAGATGGGAATAGTGAAACAAACATTTTTAATGTCCAGCAGAATCCTCTGTCTTCCCCCAAACAAGCCTCCCTGGGCAGGAATTTCAGCCACTCTGGAATGGAAGCCTCCTGGAAGGAATCTGCTTCCCTGTGGGACTGCCCAGCTTTCAGCCCTGCTGCTGGGGGAAGGTAAGAGAGCTCTGTTTTCATTTACTATTTATGAGATGTGCGTTCCTATTGCCAAGTGACCACAGCATTCGGTGCTTTTAAGAATCTGCAAATGAGATGAAGCTCATTATTTTTTAATGTGAAAGGGATTATTGCAATGGGAGTGCAGGGATGTGTAACCTCAGAGATGGCTCTTGCTGGGGGGATAGATTTTGAGGCTTTTGCTTTAGGAAGTCAATAAAGAACACAGAGTATTTCCCAGTCATTCTGCTCAGCATCTAAAAGCAGTATAGGAATAACACTAAAAAGGATATTTTTTTTAATTGCAGACTGGGACTTGCAGGAAATTGCCCTCCTCGTGTGTGTGTTTTACTGTGCAGCGTTGAGAGAAATGCAGGGGCACGTTTCCAAAATAAATCTTTTCCTTAATAAGCAAAAATCCCTCATTATCCATTCCTGCCCCCAGTCATCAGAGCTGATCTCAGGGTCCTGAGGGACAGCAAAGGCTGGTGGCACAAATGCAGCTTTTCCTCGGATTTTGGGGTGCAGGGGTGCCCTGAGCCCCTGCCCCAGCCCTCCCTGCAGGTCACACACAAGATTTGTGCATCACCTGAGGATTTTCAGAGGTGTCTGTGTGAGCCAGAGCTCACAGGTGGCAAAGCACTGCAGGAGAGGGCACCTGACTCAACAACACCTCTGAGGCAGCTCAAGCTATGCAGAAAAGAGTCAATTTAAGGGAAATATCAGAACTTTGCTGCATGTGGGAAGGATCAAGGGGCACTGAACAACTGCTGAGCACTTTTTGGCAGCCTGGGAGTCTCATCCCTGCTCCCCAGCAGCACGGAGCTGGCACAGACCACTCTGCCCAGCACAGCCACTGCTGCCCCTCCAGGACAGAAAGGCAGCCTTTAGCAGAATATCCCTGGGGATTTGCTGCCCAGCTGCCAGGGAACAGCACTTGCAGTGCTCAGGTGCCTTGTAAGACCCCAGACTAATTTCCTTCCCCGTGTTCCTGCTCTGCTGAGCTCATGCTCCACAAACGCAGTAATTGCAGGCATTTGTTTTGAGCCACATGAGCCTGAGCTCCAGAGCGAGTTTTATTTACTGCAATTATATCTGGCAGGTAATTTCTAGTAAACCCAGGGAAATGATTAACCTCCCACTAAATTCATGAACAGAAAAATAGGGCAAATTGATCAAATAAGCTGTTTCCTACCTAATAAAAAAAATATTACAAATATAACATCCTGGAACAGAAATAGCTCTGATGAAACCATAAAGACAAGCAGGAACCTGCTAGAGGCAGCTGTGCAGAGTTTTAAAAATTCTAGTTTATCTCCCAGCCATGAGTTATTATTATTTTACCCATTGCTGGTGGTGGAGCTGCTTCAGCTGTGCCCATACCTTGTGTCACAGATGAGTGACTTATGTCACTTAAAGAATCATAGGCAAAGGTATTAGCAGAAGGGGATTTAATTAAAATTTGTCAGAGTGTGATTGAGCAAAGTTTGATGGCAAGTTTTACTCTGACTCATTACACATGGATGAATTCTGCAAAGGAAAATGGAGTTGGAATTGATTTCAAGTGATTTACACAGAGAGTAAAGAGCCAAAAGGGTCAGGGAGACCCTCCTGTTGAGTCATGAGGTGCAGAGTGGAATTTCTTCCTCATTTGGGTTTGGATAAGAGGCAAAGACAGCCTGGGACGTGAGAGCATCCCTGTGGACAGGTTAGAGAATGCTGGAAGCAGACCTGGCTGCTGCTGATTTCCACAGCAATGTCTGTCTGCATTCCCTCCCCAGGGAGAGCTTGAGAACCACCCCAGGGCAGTGGCTGAAGAATGCCCAGAATTGCCATTTTCCAGCTCAAAGCTCTGCCCTGTGACCTCGTGCACTTTAAAATTCCTTATCCATCTCCACCTGGGGTGAGGCAGCTTTATCCCAGCCTGGCTTGGGACACACAGCAGCAAATGGGAGATGAGGGAGATGAGGAAGAGTTGCTTGTCACTCGTGAAAAAGGAGTTCTCAGCCTCATCCGTGGTGCTCCCCAGACTCCAGACAGAGAATAATGTCACTCTGAGGCCCAGATTTTCCTCCTCCTTTGGCATGATGGTAACCAGCAGAAGAGCTGGAGAAGATCCATCATGGGCCACCTCTGTCCTCCTCCCGTGCACCGCTGGCCAGGCTGGGCACAGAGGGGCTCCAGCTGCTTGAGGTGAGGAAAACCAGGAGATTTGTCATTTGGGGAGGGCTTTGCCCGTTCTCCAGGGCTGCTGGGTTTGCCCTGCCCACACAACCTCAGCCTTGGTGGGTACAAAGTGGGTACAAAATGATGGGTAAATGGAAACAGGGAATTTCCAGGCTGGCAAGGTGCAGGTTTGAGGGGTTCTTTCTCCTCCTTGTCCTCTCCCAGGCACAATTTCCTCTCTGATCCTGACTGATGGTTGATTCCATTGGGTTTCCCACACAAACAGTGGCAGTGAGTCCCTGATGAAAGCCCGGGCAGGCTGTGCAAATGGAGACAGCCACTCCTCTGCACTGCTCCCTGCTCCCTGGGGCTCAGCCTCCCAACTTCCACTCCCGAGGGGTTGCAGCACTGTGGGATGGGATGGGATGGGATGGGATGGGATGGGATGGGATGGGATGGGATGGGATGGGATGGGATGGGATGGGATGGGCAGCAGGGACAGGGCTGGCTGTGTGTCAGAACCCAGCACATCCCTGTGCCTGCCCTGGCTGTCCCCAGACCCTGGCACCAAGTCACAAACACCTGTGGCTTCCATTTTAGCCCATGGAAAAAGCTGCCAACTCTGTGTGAGGAATTACAAACCACAAGGGTTTGAGTGGTGTGGGAGTTGAGTTAACACAGGATGGAAAAGTAGAATTTTGGGGTTTTTAGAATATTAAGAGGCTCAAGATGGAGGGATTTGGGTGTGTCCTGACCTTCTTCTCCTTCTCCTTGCCCTCCATGCCTTGCTGTGCTGGTGACACTTTTCTGTTGGTTTAAGGCACAGACACACTGCCCAACACAAATGACAGATATTGGCACATTATTGCAAACATGGCACAGGCAGTTTTTGGTATAAAATGCAAACACCCCTGAGGGCAGACAGAATGCCATGGCCGAGCTGCTGGCCAGAGCTCAGCAGGGCAGAGAGAGAATGTTCTGGAGAAGGGAAAATAAACAGCTTGAGAAGCTGATCCTGCACACTCAGACTGCTCCTCTGGCTGCAGGGCTGGGAGAAGGAGGATTTTACACTCCTGGGGTCATCCCAGCACCCAGACCCCAGGAACTGTGGGGCTGCCCAGGGTGACAGGGGCTGGGACATGGGGAGGGGGCTGTGCTGGCCCCTCATGGCACCACAGGGACGGCCAAGTGACCAAGGGCAGTCACATCCCACAGGACACCTGCCACTGCTCCTGGTGCCTCTGGGAAGGTGAAGCAGCTGGGTTTGATTTCCAGGGACACCCCTGGCACAACACTGGGCTGTCAACATTGCTGTCAGGAGCTGAGCTACTCCTGCCTTGGGCACTGAAAGAAATTGCTCTTGAGTTGGCACTACTGATGTTCAGGAGGGATAGCAGGAAAAAAATTCTTCACTGGAAGAGTGGCAGAGCATTGGAATGGGCTGCACAGGGCAGGGCTGGAGTCACCTCACTGGAAGTATGCAAAAAGTAGATGCAGCTCTTTGGGATGTGGTGGGAGGGTTGGATTTGATGATCTTGAAGGTCTTTTTCATTCCTTAATAATTCTGTGGCCTTGGGTGATAAATACCACACTGAAGGAATCTTCCAGAACCTCCACTTTAAATCTGTATTTTATGACCTTTAGGTACATTCCCTATTTCCCAGTATTTCCACATCATACAGAGTTGTTCTATTTGTATCTCTTCCCTCTGTTCCTTTTGAATACTTGACCAAATTCATGATTAAATAAATTCTGTGTATATTGCTAAAGTTTATTCTGCTGCTGAAACATGGCACAGAAATCTTTTGTCTGTCCTGAAACTTCAGACAAATCTTTGCTTCCTTTAAAATAACCTTTGAAATGTTTTTCATCCAAACGAGTGAAATAGCAAGAATAATAGATGTTGTAGGATTTGTAGCCACTATAGTTTCCTGCTTCTCCAAATGCTTTTGGAAATGCTGATTGATTTGTAACAAAGCTTGAAATGTCACCAGGAGGAATGAATGAAAAATACACTGCTCTAATGTATGTAGAAGTTGAAATTGGCTCAAAGTTTTAACCTTTAGAGGTGCTTTTTTCCTTTTCTACCCTTTTTTAACTGTTCACAGCAGTCAAGGAGTTGGAAAGATAACCAGGAACAAAATGCACATAGAGGAAATGAATAAATTATGCTCTTATTTTTGGCACATTTACAAGAGAGACATTTTAAAACTCCACTTCAGTGACAAAAGAAAGGATTGCTCTAGTTAAAATAAAGTTTGTTCCCTCTGCGACAGAGGGATGCTGTGCTGGGGAGGTCTGATGGATCCCTGGCTTGATTCTGAAGGTGCTTGAGAGGGGGAAAAAACCCTGACTGTGCCCACAAACACCTCAAAGACTGCAGGAAGGGGCTCTGCTGGGGCAGGAGGGGATCATTCCTGCCTTGGCCAGGGTGGGAATGTGCTGGGAGAGCAGGAGCCACGTCCAGGCAGTGTTTGCTCCCCAGCTGGCTGTGCTGGCTGGACTGGTCTCGGTGAGCTGGGCTGTGTTTGGGCAGCAACGACAACGGGGCTTTGCCTGCTCTGGAATTGGCAGTAATTGGAACTGCAGAATGAGGGAAACATGGTTTGAAACCCATCCAATTTCAGCTCCAGCAAGATGACCCTTCAGGGACGTTGAGGCTGCTCCGGGGCCACCAGCTCGTCTGTGTTTTGTCCCTGCTGTCACTGGTTGTGTCGCAGTCCTCGCAGAGCTCAGCGTTTGTCACTCAGGTTAGAAATGTCTGGTGCTTTCCAGGGTTTGCTGCTTTTCTTCTTCCTGATGAATTTACTCTCTGGAGTATAAAACATGATAGC